AATTGCCATATGTAATCATATATTTATGCACCTAAATCTTTAAAACATATGTACACATGAAAAGGAAAAGAATTGAGTTTATTTGTGATTATTTCTGCAGTACGGACAGTACTACCAAAAATGACACTCTTCTCATCATTTAGAGATGGCCATCTTTAGTCTGTCTTTATCATTAGAATGCCTTCTTCCTTCTACAAGATAGGTTTTGGAAACAGTGCCCCCCTGAGACCCTACACTCCACTAAGGAATTGTAGATCTCTGAATACATAAAAGTGCCCTACCCTAAATTATCATTTCTGTAGAAAATTTAATATTCTACCAAATGCTCAAAGGTTTGAAATTCTAAATGGATCAGAGAAATTTTAGTCAAAATCAACTTATAACACCATAATTGGTTAAACCAGTTTAAAATTTAAAACAGTTAACTGATAATGAAAAGTACCTATTATTTAGAATGAGACTTAAAAGCTACTATACTAAAATTATTTACCTTTCACCTGTTGACCTGCATGAATATGGGAGTCAAGAGTCAAGGCTGCGTCTATGTCTACTGAAGGCATCACACCTGAGGAACAATACTGCCTTTATAGTTTAAATGAGACAGTAATATTCAGTGTATATGTTGAACAAAAAATAAATGATAACTATTTTCCTTTTTAGGAATAAAAAATTTTTTTGATAACATAATTTACTGTTAATTGTGAACCTATTAAGGCACTGTTTTTACTAAACTTTAAATAACAGAATATCACTGTAGTAGGCTGTTCATCTTTGATCTATTGAAATTCGTGTGAGGAATATGACTAAGAAATTCCATGTTGGTGACCTCTGTCATTTTTTCATCTCCCTTTATTCTTCCTCATTCATATGCACATATTGGTGTGGAGATATAGACAATATTCACTTAAGATTTTCATGCTGTTGTCATATTTTTTAATTTATGCTGTCTCTACAATATATTTATCCTAAAAATAGATATGAAAGTTGGCACAAATTCCCATGTCAAAGGACTGACATTTAATTGATAAAGTTTAAAGACCACATGTTTTTATAATTTGATATGCCTTTTCCTATTATATAAGTTTTGATTGTGATAACTCTTTGGTAGTTATATTAGTTAAATATTAGATGAGAAGTCTACTTTAAGCATTTTATTAAATCCTTTGAATGGATTATAGTCAAATTTTCTTTCTCGGAAGGCAAATTGTTCATATTATTTTATGATATAGGATTTCCCTTTTTAATTTTCCCAAACTTAATGCACTAAGATGATTTTTTGTTTACAAGTTCATCCTAATTTTGTAAGAAAAAATATAATAAGATTTTTCATAATTGTGTTTTTAAACAGAGAGTGAAAAATAAATCATTGGAAGATGTGGTTATGTTAAATGTTGACACAAACACTTTAGAATCACCATTTAATGACTTGAGCAACCTACCCAGTGATGTGGTAAGTCCAAAATATATTTTGTGGTGAACATAAATGTAATCTGCTGGATCCCTGGGTTAGTAAGTTACTTTTCTATTTTGTATCTGAAATTTAAAAGTCAGGTATGTGCAAGGAGTGTGAGGAGAATCAATGTAGATTCTAATTTTAAATATTTTTACCTTTTGGCAGTTGAGGAAATGTTAAACGGAATACTATATTTCTTATTGTAAAAGTAGGATCATAATTAAAAAGCTAGATGCATTCATTAGGCAGAGTTTCTTTAAACACTGTCTCTTCATCTCATCTTAATCATTATATTACAAAGTAGGCCTTTCTGCCTGCCTAGTGGCATGTCTTGCAAAAGAATGAGAGAGTTTTTGAAGGCAAGAAGAAGAAGGGGGCCAATTATCGGCTTTTGCTTCCGTGCCACCTGCCAGCGCTTTTCCTTTTAATTAATGATCTGATGGCACTGGTCAATATAATAAGAAATGCTTGTACAGTTGGGGTCAGAAAATTCTGGCTTTGATCTCTCCCAACTTTCTGAAACATTTATTTGTTTTCTCTAAATTATTTCAGTTTTATTTTAATCTTTCCTATCCTGCTGAGGGCTGCAAGAATGAAAACCTACACTGTTTGTCATCTGCTTTGGCAGAGCAAAGACTGCTTACTTAGAATTCTATTTGTAAATTAAACTGCAAACCCAGTTTGTCATAAAAGACATCTGATCCTTTTGAAATGACGAAAACTGTCTTTTGTCTGTAAAGGCTGATAAATTAAGTGCCAGTTCTTTTCTGGTCTTTGATCTTGCAGTGGATTTGTGTGTGCACAAGAGTGTGTGTGTGTGTGTGTGTGTGTGTGTGTGTGTGTGTACCTTATAATGAGGACTATTCTGTATTTCATTTTAAATAGCGTGTAAAATTGCATTTTTGGCTTTTATATTTCTTAGTTTATTTTAGGGTAAAAATGAAAACTGGTGCTGTTTCTGTACATAGTAAATCGTTGTTTTAAATATATTTATAGCATAGTTGTAGGTCTAAAATAACTCCCCATTTTTAAAAAAAAAACTACATTATTTACAATGATATTAAAATTAGAGAATTGAAAGTTAACCTGGCAATGTATTTTTTCTGTATTTTTCTTCATTATTAAGGAGTTTGAGAAAATGAATTTAAGAATCCCCAATTTAGAAAATATAGCAAAACTAACCTTGATTGTTCTTATGACTAGTAATAGGACAAATGTAATTTTAAATTCAAAGCCAGATTATCAATGTGCTCATCAGTAGCCAAAAATATATTCTGAGCTTGAAGCACAGTAAACTGAGCTTCTGTGTCTTACTATAGTAAAATTGTTTTGTGTGAACAATCCAAATTTGGATCAATGGACATTTATATTTTAACTTAATAAAACTAGATTGCTTCATTATGAAAGTTTACAGACTGCTAGAAAGGTTATAATTTTCTTGGAAATCTACTCAAATATTTTTCACTGGATAGAAAAATAATTATGAAAGTAGAATTCCAACTTTAAAAATATTTTCTTATGTATGTGCATTTCCTACCATTAATGCTTAAGGAGAAAGATTGTTTATTAAAAAGAAAAGAAAGGGAAAGGAATTCGGCTTTTGTGCATATTTGAATGTGTGCAGTTGGTCTCACGGAGCTGATTCCTTGAGAGCAGCCCATGAAGCTGCATGTTGGTGGTAATTCTTTTTAAATTGACACATTTCTCTTATAGAATTACTTTTATAATTAAGATATTTATTTAAGTATATGGGGAGGCTAAGCAGTATTCACAAATGTACAGCTATAAATATATAAAATGACAGGAGACTATCATGTAGCTTTCTCTTAGCATTACAGTTAAGCAAAGCTAACTGTAAGGATGTTGGTAAAAAGGAACCCTGCTAGCTGCAGTGGATGATAAGAAAGTCGTTTGCGCTTGAAGCCACAGAGTTACAGACGGTCTGAAGTCCAGACAAATAAAAGCTCTGAGACAGAGCTAGGGCCATTTGTTCAAAATATGAGATTATTTAAAGTTATAATGATTTTTCTAAAATACTTTTGGTGATTGTTTAATCTGTAATAAATTTAGTTTTCCATCAGTTTTTCAAAGGTGTTTTTATAGTTCTGGAGAAAATATCATAAAGCATCACAACATTATTTTAAAATGGCAAATGTTTTAAATAAGATGTGATAAAATCCTGAATGATTCTGAATTTTTATGTGTGATTTACATTAATAAAATATTTTTGAAGCCTGAAAAGTATTGCTGTTGGTACTGCTTGATTGTTTCATAAGTTAACTGAGATTTAAATGGAGGGCCTTTTGGCATCGTCAGCCAAGGCATTTAAATTATACTTACAGGCTGGGTGACTTTGTGTGCATGTGCACTCTATTACCGTGTCACATTGACCAGTGGTCATGGCTGCTCAAAGGTCAGTGGTCACAGTTGTCCTGAATTACTAGCCCTTTTTTTCCTGTGGACCCTCTGGTGTGTTGCAGGCTGTAATCTTCTTAATGGCTTCATTCCAATATTCACACATAATATTTTAGATTTATGGACTGTTAGAAATACTACCATGCCAGTAGCAGTTCCGCTACTCTTAAGGTATTTAAAATTGGAAAAATAAATCAGGGCAAAGCTTTCAGGAATCCTTTGTTTTTCTTATGGGAGGGGGAATAAAAAAACTGTCTTCCTGTCTTCTGACAAGAACACTTGTTTTTCGATTTCATCATTTCACTATAGATTGGTATCATTAAAGCAAAAAAAACCCCAAATTTTATTGGGAATGATTTTAAAGATATTATTGCACAGAATAGCTTCTGAAGACAGTAGACATATTGACAGTTACTTCGGTAGCTTTTGTACATGAATACATTGTGACTGTATTTTAGTAGCTATGTCATGTAGGCATTTTCAAACATTTGTAGTTTGGCTGTTTGGGGATAAAAAGTAAAGTTTGGAACTAAGTAACTATCAATCAAAGTTACTGTTATTGTAGTGCATTTATTAAAGTAGACAAAAAGAAGCAGTTCAATTATATATCATTTAAAATCTCAAATGAGTTCATTTTAATTTCAGAAAATATACTATTTGAAACTGCTAATTCCAAATACATGTACAAATTAGTTGTAATTATGTAGTAATTAAAATTTTATAATTTTAACCTCTTAGTTTTTACTGCTCATTTTACTTTTTATCAATATTAACATTTGAATAATTATTTTTTGAATTGTTACTTCTTATAAAATAACAGGGCAACCCATTTGCTTACTGGAAGATTAGACTAATAATTAGAATTGTAGTAAGAGTTAGGAAATGTGTTCTCATAGGAATATTAAGATTAGCAATTATAAACCAAGTCCTGTAGATGAAAGCAGCTTAGAGTTGACATCTGACAAAGCTACTTGTGTTAGAATATTCATTGCAACAGGCAAGTGACTTTTGCTTAACTATCCTTAAATAATCTTAATTTATTAAAGTTTAACAAAATTATATGTATTTATTTTAAGTAAGAAGATGGAGGTACAGAAAGTATACTGTTAATGGTATCTAAAGCTTTAGTAAAGGATAAGGTTGATACTTGTATCTGTGCCCCAAATACTGGACCATAGTCACATTTAAATGTGATGAACATTTATAATAATGAGTAATTAATTTATAGTTTAAAGAGAAGTATGTTTGCCATTCTAGTCATGTTAAAGAAATAGCAACATGACATGATATTACTTGATTTAAAAATTTTCAGAATTGTTTCTAAAATTGTATTCTCATTTTGCAAGTACTATTATTGGAAAATTATGTTTTCTATAATGAGAACTTGTAAAAGTATAGTTTATTTTTAATGCATCTGCTGCCTTTAAAAGTTATTCTGCATAATAATATAATTAAATCACATTTATCAAGCACATACTGTGTGCACTTACCATACTGAGGAGCTGTTATACTAAACAACACTATGTGATAGGATAGATGCACTTGGCATAACGTCTTTTAAATTACTAAGACATTAAGAAAGCCGTGTCATAAATGGTCTTGTATAAACATCACATGTTACAGAGATGTTTCCAGATGTTATTGGAAGGAATATGCTCATGATTTTATTGTGATTTGAAAAAGTGATGACACAGTTTACCATGAGTCACCAAAAACTGTAGGGAACCAGAACTAGAGAATTACCCTAAAATAGTAATTTTAAATAAGACTTTGGGGTATATATGTTTAAGAGAGTTTATTTGGGAATAAGTTTGGAAGATAATTCAGAAATTATTTTAAAATAAATTTTAAAATAATTTCAGAAATTGTTTCAGAAATTTTTTTAAAATTAACTTTTCAAAAAATAGTAAAGGATATAAACTAAACTCTTAAGGTCATGCACATTATCAAAAAATATGTTTAATTCATTGAGTATTTTCTCTAATTTAACCTGAAGGTTTTAACATGTTAAATGTCATAATATATGTTATAAAGAAAAAAAAGACTCCTGAGAATATTATATTAGTTCCAGGCTTGCCACAGCTCTGCTATAATCCTTACTGTGCTTAATGGTAAGTGAAGTCTCTAACAAAGGCCTGTGGTGGTCCATGTTGGAAAGATAATACACTTTTCTTCGGCTTAAAGCATAATTTTCAGAACATTTTATTTAATATGCAGACTAGACCTTAGGAAACAAGTATGGTTTCAGTTTGTCCTGAAGAAGTGTAGTCATGCACATCCCCAGCTGCTAGTTCTCTGGAATCTGGTTATACAAAACCTCTGCTTTAACAGACAATATGCAATACTTTGTAAATAGTATGCAGTCAGTGAATGATTGCACTTTTTAAAAGTAACAGAACTTTGTGTTTTAAAATATCTACATAATTATCATCTATAATATTTATAAGAATGTTTTCATTTGACTTTTATAATGTAAAATAGAACTGGAAGCATTTTTAAGATACTTTTTTTTTTGAATGACTATTGTGCAACTTATTATTTCTTGCCTGTCTCAAAAAGACTATGTAGTAAGGACACACAAA